ATTTAAATAGACATTTCACCTAAGGTATCTATTACGCTAGTAAACACATGAAAAGATGCTCATCATCACTACTTATAATGGAAATGTAAATTAGGCTAATTAAAAAGCTACAAGCAAAAAACTCCAACAATATTAGCTATGAGCACAGATGCAGAGAAAACTGGAACCCTCACACACTGACGATACAATTACCATCAAAATCAGTTTGGAAGTTTCTTAAAACATTAAATATAGACTTTCATACCACCTGTCAGTTACACCCTTAGGAAACTTCCCAAGAGAAAATGAAAATGTGTCCATGCAAAGACTTACATATAAATATTCATGACAGCATTATTTATAACAATTCAAAATTAAAACAATTCAGATGTCTATCAACCTGTGAAAGGTTAAACAAAAAGTCGGAAATTCATACAATGGACTACTATTAGACAATAAAAAAGAATGGAGTACAGATACATGCTACTCTACCTCAAAAGCATTGTGCTGAGTGAAAGAAACCAGACACAATTAGATGACATATTGTCTGATTCCTTTTATATAAAATTTCTAGAAAAAGCAAATCTATAGAGATAGTAATCAGTGGTTGCCTAGGACTGGGGTGGGAGTAGGGAATGTCTGCAAACAATGGAGAAGACCTTTCTGGAGTGATGGAAGTGGTTTAGAACTGGACTACAGAAATGTCACACAACTCTATAAATGTATTAAAAGTCACTGATCTGTATACTTTGTATAGATAAATGGACTCTATGGTTAAGTACATCATACCTCAATAAACCTTTTTTTTTTTTTAAGGGAATCATAGCCCCATCCATATTGCTTGAGAGTTGCTTAAATGTCAGTGTCACTCAGCACTGCACAGTGACACAATCTTTTTTTTTAAAACCACACTGTTTTTAAAAACTCACATCTCATTATTCTTAATGATATACATTTATTTGATTTCTAGTTAAACTAAACATTTTCATCTATTGGGTCTGTTATTTTCTTATAAGGATATACATCTATTTCATAAGGACATCTTTTCATCTTTTTGAAAGTAGCACATTTTCAATGGTATGTGGTAGAAATATTTTTTCCCAGTTTTTCATGAGTTTTAAAATTTTGTTAACAGGGTTTTCTTTTTCTTTGCCATATTGACATATTCATTTTCATGTAGTCAAATTTATCTATTTTCATTTACAGAGTCTGTCTCTGGTGTTATAATATGCAATCTTCTTTTGAAACATTAATCAGAAACCTTGAGTATTGTTAGGCAAGCATCCCCTGTCCCAAGCCCAGCGTTACTGGGCTTTTCTATTTTATGAAAAGAGATAAAACATAATTTCAAATCTCAAAGCTGGAGGCAGATGGACTTTTCTGCCTTAAACCTTTACGGGTGAAGAGGGACTAGTGTTGACATCCCAAATTCCTGGAAAATTGTCTCATTAGAGAAAACTTCTAATGTGATACACATGACATTTCCAGTAGTCCCAGTGATGAGGAATTGGAAAAATAAAAAGAAGGATGTGAAAATGTGCCCGCTGTTGCTAGTCATGCCAGGACGATGGCTCGAGGGCTCGTTGGCTGAGGCCTCTTTGTAGACCATCAGGTCATTCCATAACAACGCGATCACTGCATTCAACGTGATCAGGCATTCCTGGATGTCTGACCGGAACAGTCTAGAACTCAGTCACTCACTGTCCCACCACCACCTGAGTCCAGGAATATTATCATTTTCCCTGCTGCTCCATTCACTATTAGAGGGTGGTCACTCATTACCCATTAGGTAATGAATACAGGAAACACAACTTTATTTAAATCTCACTGACTCAGGAAGAGATGTTACACTAACTGAAGAACTCGTCACTACTGAGTGATATATTCATCGAAAAATACTACTGCAGTTCCAAAAACCACGTGTTTTCATGCAGCTACGACTGAAAACTAATAAAGGTAAGACAGGCTCAAGGATGTATTGTACAACACTGGGACTACAGTTAATATTTCGCAGTAACTGTAAGTGGAATGTAACCTTTATAACTGGATAAAAAATTTTAAAAATAATAAAAAATTTAAAAAAAAAGAAATGCCGTAAAAACGTTTTATATTAATGTGGACACTATGGCCTTCAAGGCATATAACCTGAGGCCCGGTCACATTAGATACAATCAGAAGAGGCATTCAAATACCTGAAAACAGAAAATGACTGATTTTTTTCTCTGTATATTTGAGTCTCCCCCACACACATACATTTCCAAGACTGGCCCCAATTCAACCTCTTTCCTTATCTATCCTACAGTTTTTGGAATCTATACTATATATTCTAGGACCTATATATAGGTTTAATATTATTCAATTGTTTTGTGCCCATTACTCATCAAATTAAACATAAGCTCCATGAGGGCAAACTTTGTATTCCTATGGCATTCAAGCAGTGCTAGGATTCCAGATGCTTCTACTGACTTTGTTAGTGCCATTTCTTCCTCTGCGGCCTCAACAGCGCTCATTAAATAACATTTCTTGATTTCTGGAAAAAGTTGGGCCAAGAAGGTAAACAAACAAACAAAAGTATTGTGAGGCCACTTTGAAAACTTACAATGTAAAACAGGCAGTGCTTTAGCTAAAAAAAATATCACGGAGTAGTATGTAAATGCTTTGGCAGATACCCCAGCTTTTCAGATCTCGAAGAGCAAAGCACAGATTGTATCCAGTTCTCTTCTTTGAACCTAGGCAGGCTTCATCTAATGACTATAGTTTCCTATGTAAGTTTCAGGGAACCCCAGGGTTCCATGAGGCAGTTCCAGGGTTCTAAGAGGCAGCATCAAGGTTTGCCTGGTGAAGGGGATGGCCATGGGAGCCACGTTTAATTTGTGGTTGCTCCTATCCAAGTAACAGCCCAGGTCTTTGAGCTGTATGTATAAATGAAAAGCATTTCTATTAATCAAGGAGAGGTGTCCTGTCTCCAAAGAAGACTGACACATAGGTGCCTGCACACAGGTCCGCCCTCAGTCCCAGGATGCCTGGCTAGCTGCTTCTCTGCTTTCTAGGGAAATAAAACAATAATCAAAACCCAGTTTCTCTACTGTTCTTCCCTTCTGTTCCCTTAAGAGAGGAGGGCACTGAGAATAAGTAAGAGTAATGGTTTCACCAACTCTGACTCCTGGACAACAGGATTCCAGCACATCAGGATCTCTTATAATAAAGAATTTATACAATCTATTTGTCTACCTTTGTTAATAATTCCCAGAATGGAGATGATATCAACTCACTCTGGAACCCAGTTCTTGGTGATTCTACTAGAATTCCCAACCTCATCATTAAACCAAAGATTAAATGCCGAAAATGGTGGCATCATTCTAATATCCTCATTGTAGTACTGGAAAAACCGTACTTTCAAAATAATTAAATTTAACTAATGAATCTGAAGTATTAGTACTCTTAATATGCCATCCATCTTCTCAGGCTGGGCGTTTCTTCGCATTTTCAAATTCCTCTTCACCATCCATGAATGAGTAAATAAAAGAGAATGAGTAAACAATGTCTGAAAGTAAGGCCTTTACCTACAGCATCTAATTAAACCTATGGTTACTAGTTATTGGTAGCTGAGACCCTTAGGTAATTCCTGTCTTAAAGCCCCAGTTCAATGGCAGTACCACCTCTCAAGAGGTTCTGAGGATTAAATGCGACATTAAACCAAACTCCGCCCACAGTATGAGGCATATAGTATGTGCACAATAAACTCATAGATTTAAAAAAAAAAACTTTTAATTGTATTTTTTTCAAGTGGAGGAGACAAGTTTCCACTAACTTCGAAGTAAAGACAGATAAAAAGGCAAAAGCCTCTGTATTTTTAAAGCTGCAAGATTTTGAAAATAATGAGATCACTTACAAACACAAATCATTCCACCATCTTTAACTGATAGAGCAACATACTATTTGCCCTTTTGCTTCCAATCTAATACCCTCGCTGCTTAACACTGTTGGACACGCGAGGCCAGGCGGTGGGAGGGTGCAAAGTATTTTCTTAGCAACAGCCGCCACACTGCAGTTTCTCCTCGGGGTGGAGGAAAAAGCCTTCCCTTCCCTCCCTGGGACAATGACAAGTCGCAGCCGGACTCCGAGGGAAACGTGCGCACCAGGAGCGAGTCAGTTGGGTGTCCGGGCCTGCGCGGAAGGGGACACATAATGGTCCTCCAGGAGGGACCCCCGGCCCCCCCTCCGCACCCAGGGGCGCGAGAGCATGCGGAACCCGCCTTCCCGGACCGAGTGTGGGTTCGGGACGCCGAATCGGACCCGGTGACCCCTGCCCTTTGCAACCACAGTTGCGCGCGCCCCCGGCGGCGTCCCGTTCCTGCGCAGGGCCAACTCCGCGAGTCCCCGCCGCCAACTGCACGCAGGTCCAGCCGCCCGGCCCTGCCCGACACTGGAGTGGGTACATACGGGTCTGCAGCGGGGGCGGCAGCGGGGTGAGCGCTCCGTTAAAACATGGCTTTCCCTCTCCCGTGGCCTGAGCGCCTTCGCGGCGCACCGGCGTGGGCACGGCCCACAAGGGAATAACCCCGACGTCTGCCCGACTTACTGGATTCATTTCCGATCTCCCTGTGCGTGTTACTTGTTACCCCTCCCCTCCCCCGCGTCTCGCAGCTTTTTCCTGCACACCGACCTCAATCTGGCAGTTTTGGAAAAAGAAAACTCCCCTTCTGGAAGCGGGGCGGGGGGGGGGGGGTGGTGAAAAGCGCTTTTGCTTCTTGTTCGAGGTAGAAACCATTCAGGCTAGAATGAGTTCGAAAAGAAGGGAAGTCGCGTCGCCGGAAAGAAAGTAACATCCCGAGATCGATGAGGACAGAGGGAGGGAGCAAGATCTGCAACAGGCACCTGAAAACAAGCGTGAAGGAGCAAAGGGAATCGCCGCCGCCGCCGAGTTACTACCGAGTGCATTCCGCGCCATCCACTGCAATGGCAAGATTTGCTCTTCTCACAGTCTGAAGGCCTTTGAAATCTTTTTGGATAAGACTCACCTTTCTCTTCGGCATGACTGTATTCGTGCAGCTGAAAAGTAAAGCAACGGGCTGGGACTGCTGGCACCGCCGCTGGATGCTGCCGCCGCCGCAGCTGCTCACGCGCAGGTCTCGGCGTAGCCCGGCCTCCGGGACCTCAACCTCGGCGGCTCCCTCCAGGGGCCCTCTACTCGCTGGTCTCCCCGCTCCTCCAATGAGGAGCCCCGGCAGCCGGTCGCGAGGCCCCATTGGCTGCGGCAACGTTCTAAATTCCACGAGGGCACGCCCACCTCCGCGCGCACGGTACGCGCTGTTGTAGTTTCCACTTCACCGAAAAATCTGCCTGGCGACTGAGCATGCCCAGTTCAACTAGTAAACCCCCAAGCCACGGGATCCTGGAGTTTCATTGTTTTGTTGCTCCCTATTTGGATTGTCATCAGTAGGAAGTGTGGGCCTTCCTAAGGAGGAAAAAGAGTAAGGATGGACACATTAACTTTATAAGGTAAATGTATACATAGCAAGCATTTTATATGTTCCCTGTAAAAGCTTGTAATGAGTGCTATGTGGTGCAGAGCTTTGAAAGGGGGAAGGTACTCTGCTCTGAGACAGTCTGGCAATCTCTAAGGGTCTCAGTTTCCCCTTCTAGATTTCTAGTGACAGTAAACCCTAAAACTGCTTAGGAATAATCTCCTAAAATCTGATTTCATATCGCTTACTAATTCAGTCACCAGCAAACTAGGCTTGAAGGTGACTTGAAGGAGTATGTTTATTATGGAAATTAAAAAAGACTGAACAAGATCAAATAAGATTATTTTATTTTTTGGAACGTATTTCTCAAAGTTCTGCAAGGCATTCAATAGGAATTGGGTGCCTGGATTAAATATAAATATAAAATATGTAAAATAAAACAAAGTATTTTAATAAAAAATATAAAATAGACACTCGATTTATTTTATGAAATCATTCTTACCCTGATGCCATAACCAGTGATAAACCTCAAAAGTAAAGAGAACTAGAGAGCAATTTCCTTCGTAAACACAGACATGAAATCTTGAATAATATTTTAGTAAATCAAATAACTAAATGAAATGTAAATTTTTAAAATTGTAAATTGCCTTTATTTAGGTTGAATACTTGGAATCTATATAATATTCTACATCAGCTCTACCTCAATAAAAAAAAAGTTCTTTTTAGTAAGTTAAATCCAGCAACATTTAAGAGGATAAGACTTCATAACCAGTGAAGTTTATCCTGGGAATGCAGAATTGGTTTAACATCTGAAAGTCAATCAATGTAATTCAACATAGTAATAGAATGAAGGAAAAAAAGAACAATTTTTCAACAGATTCAGGAAAAGCACTAGTGAATGGTTCAACAAACTTTAGTAACTGTATACAATAGAATACTACTCAGCTTGATGAAGAGGAACAAAATATTCCTACCTGGATGAATGTCAAAAACAAAATGCTTTGTGAAAGAAGGCACGTATAAAAGACCATACTGAATAATTCCACTTATATGAAAAATTTTAAAGCAAAATTACACATAGTTTTATAATCATGTTGGAAGGCAAAAGTTCACATTATAGGAAAACACTAATGAGACCTTACACTACAAATATGGCCAAATCCACTTTAATTACACAAAGGCTACAAATATGTATTAAATAGCATCATCAAGTAATTAATTTTATTTTTTATTTTTTTAAGTAATTAATTTTAATGCTTGACATTTTTCTTTGTTAATTCTCACAATAATGAATTAGTATTCTAGAAAACTGCGGAAGTGATCAATGACTTTCTTTTTTGTAATATCTTTAGGAACACATGGATTTTTTGGCATGGATATTTTTTGGCATGCTTCAATCTGTTGCCATTATTACTTTTTTTCATACTCATATTGCTCCAATGTGAGAGACTTTTTTCAAATTAGTGCTTGTCTACTGTTGACATGATCCCAATTGTTTTTGATAGACTCCTTATTTTCAGGTGTTCAGTGGATGACAATACACTTAAAAGAACTGGGATAAAACCAGTTCTTTGCTTCAGCACTGGATGGAACTTGTTTATAATTTTACCATTGTAATTAATTTATAATGAAATTGTTTTGAAAGAGAGTTAACTTGCAAAGTGCTTTTTATTTTTATTTTTTTAATTAAAAAATTTTGTTTTGGCCAAACCACACAGCATGTAGGGTCTCAGTTCCCTGACCAGGGATCAAACTCTGTATTGGAAGCACAGTTTTATCCACTGTACTTTCAGGGAAGTCCTTGCAAAATGCTTTTTAAACCAATGAAAACATTTTAAAATAAGGTATGTGTGGGAAGGATGAGTAGCACTTGAAATCTGAGTTGAATTGTTTTTCTTTATGGAGATAAAATGATGTCACAACAAAGGTGGGACTGGAGTGATTTATTTTTTCCCCTCTGTGAAGAAAAGTGATTCATGAAGTTGGCTGCTTTAGCTGATGTTTGTCAAGACTAACCACTCAACCAACAACAGCAAACACAATTGTGACTGTTTTTACTGCATATAATTAAATAGTGGCACTGGTTTATGGAATTCTTCAAACCCGAATACTGGAGTGGATAGCCATTCAATGAAAATGAGCATTGCTAATTAGATAAAGAGGGTTGATTGTGGGGACCTTGGGTCCTTTGAGCCCCAGAGTTCATTTACAAGTGATGAGAATAATAGCTTTAGTTGTAAAAATAAATAACAGCATTGGTTCTTTTTACTTTGAAGGCACTTGTACCTGCCTGAGCAGGATGTTAGGGAAGGGAGAGCTCGCCCTGTACCTTCAATAGCCTTCACTGGCAGCCCTGGGGGTGAGGAGGAAGGCTAGGAGGATGATTTTGCAGGTAGCTGCGATTCCAAATTAGAAGGTAAAAACAGCCAAGCAGAAGTGAGCATGCCCTCTGCAAGACAGCGAGAAGGCCAACCCGGTAAGAGGAGACTCCTTGGTTTATCAGTAAATTCCTCTGAGTGTTTCACTTACTTTGACCGATCAACCTCTAAGACTGTAAAGTCTTCTCTGTAGGTTGTGGGTGCTGTTTTAGCCAAGATAGACAAAGGATAAATGAAGAGGGTTACTGCCTGAGGAAGGAAGAAGGAAAAATGAGTGAACAGACCGCTTTTCCAATTCCAGCTCTTCTCCCCTTCTTTCTTTGCCATAATGGTTGGAATCTTATGTGGACCCCCGCACTTTTCAAACACCAAGGTGAAACCATATATGGTACCATGACTGTCATTAAAGAAGGTAGGGGAGGGAGAAAGGAAAAGAAAAAAGGGCAGAGGGTAGAAAATACTAGAATGCACTTCAGATGATAAAGGTAAGTCATGTTTTAGAAAGTGTTTCCATTTCCATATGTTTCCACGTAAACACATGCCACACATAGATACACATATGTGGAGTGTGTATGTGTGTGTGTGTTCTAGATTGTGACTCAAAATTTATTTTTAGGAAGGGTCTTGGTGAAAAACCTTGAAGCTACTGCACAGTCCTAATAAATATTCATTGGAAGGACTGATTCTGAAGCTGAAGCTCCAACACTTTGGCCACCTGATGTGAAGAGCCAGCTCATTGGAAAGGACCCTGATGCTGGGAAGGATTAAAGGGAGAAGAAGGGGACGACAGAGGATGAGATGGTTGGATGGCACCACCGACGTAATGGACGTGAGTTTGAGCAAACTCCAGGAGATGGTGAAGGACAGGGAAGCCTGGCGTGCTGCAGTCCATGGGGTTGCAAAGAGTTGGGCACAGCTGAGTGACTGAACAATAATAGCTCTAATGAGTCTTGTGGATTTGGGGGCTCCAGCAATTTCTTCCTCTGGAGGAACGATGCTTCATCTTCGAATCTTGAAAAGAAAATTTGAAAGGAAGGCGTCACCTCCTTTTTCTGTCCCTCCTTCCCTCTTTCAGGCAGGCACAGGCAGGTTTTGCTCGAAGTAATGGCAGCTGTGGAGAAATCAGAAATAGAATCATATTTTGTTGCTCCTGATAGACCTGTAATTCCTGGATAAGTTACTGTTCTTCGGTGAATAGGCCAAAGAACTCCAGAAGTCAATGAACAAGAGGTGACAAAAAAGTACTCCTTTGTCGTCGTTGTTGGTATTGTTATCAGTCAAGTCTCTAATTGTACTGAGTGCTTTTTTTTTTGAAGAGACCATAGTTTTTACAAAGTAACTAGAACAGTCCATGGCTTCCCAGGTGGTGCAGTGGTAAAGAACCTGCCTGCCAAGGCAGGAGGTGCAAGAGACTCAAGCTCGATCCCTGGATCGGGAGGATCCCCTGGAGTAGGAAACGGCAACCCGCTCCAATATTCTTACCTGGAAAATTCCATGGACAGAGAAGCCTGGTGGGCAACAGTTCCTGGGTCACAAAGAGTCGGAGTTCTTTGTGACGTTTGTGGGGTTCCATCACTCTAACCCCAGTTTACTGAATCGGGATCTTTTAATGGCTGGATTTGGGAATATATGTTTCAAACAAGCTTCTCTTGTGTTTTTTACACTAGAATTTGAGAATTCTAGTCTGGGCCTGAATGCTGGTACTTAGATTGTATATCTGTGAAAGCCTCTAAAATTAACACACCTCCAAAGTAGGACCTTCATTCTGTGGGTGAAACTTTTCCCCCCCAGACCTCATCTTGAGCTCGGGCTTCATCCCCGCTCAGTTCCAGTGTTGCCAGGCACTACCTACCGTCTTCTCTAGTTGCAAGGAGAGTAAAAACGTCCCACCTTGAGATCTTAGAAAAGCATCTCATCCCAGCTTCCCAGGCAGCTCCTCAGTCTCTGGCAAGGTTAAATTCTGTGGCCCCGCATCCTCAAAGGGCACCCAACCTAAGCAAAACCCCACAAGCCATGCCTCCAAGGCTCTATTATTTCAGCAACTGGACAAACACACCTTGTAACTGCATTATCGAGGAGGTCCAGGGTGTTCTGTGATCTTCCAACAGTAACCCCCCTTTTGTTTTCCCAGCCTTCAACAAATGTGGTTTACACAGTTTTCCCCCACCCCCCACCCCACCCCCTGGTCCTTTTCAGTTTCAATCTCTGTGTTATTTACCTCTCCTTCTTGTTGTTGCTGCTGCTTAAACTCACAGGAGTGGAATTA